TCTTGGCTGTATATTCGGACAGTGTTGAGCAGCGATTCCATTTCAGATGGTGTTTTTCCATTCAGATTCAGATCATCATGTAAAGGAGGTAGGATAACCTGGCAGATGTTTTTGATGCTTGATAGCCATGTCCTGATTTGTTCAGTATTGTTGACAGAGGAATCGATGCCATGACAAACAGTAGTGCTGACAGTGAGTCTACTTGAAAGATTCCTCTCTTGATGTTAACCTCTGTCAGTCTATCACCATTGACCAGCAGCTGTGTCTTCCATTGTGCCACTGATCTTTGCACAAAGTTTCTGATGTTTCTATCATTCTATTATTGTTGGTCGCACAGTCAGCCAGATGTTTAGAGTGGATTTGGCATTTTTGTCCACCTATCAAGTTCTTCTCAAGGGATGATGATGATGATGATGATGATGATGATGATGATGATGATATTTTTATGCCACCTTTTTTATATATAACTCAAGGCAGCAAACATACCTAATACTCCTGCCTCCTATTTTCCCCACAACAACCCCGTGAGGTGGGTTGGGCTGAGAGTTTATAATGGAAATAAGTACTCCCTATTCCATTCCGAAGATTAAAGTTAAATAACACCAGCACTACTAAAAGTGATTGATTTAAAGAAGAAAAATAATGAAATTCTAAACCATCTAGATTCCGTGTTTAATGCCAGTTTGGAGCTTTTTCTGCAACTGAACAGAACTATGAAACCTACAAAGGTCTATCTGTTAAATGTTCTCATTTTTCCATTTTCATTGACGTAGCCTTATACTACATCAATATAAGTACTTCATAGCACAGTTCTGGATAGGCTTTTTCTGGAATAAGTCCTGCTGTGTTCAGTAAGACTTACTCAAAGAAATGTCTAAAAGATTGCACCTTGATGGTATGAATTTCCATTTAAATCTACTTTGAAATTTGGAACCAAAAGAGGAACATTTTGCTTATTATTGCATGCGTACACTCTAACTACTTTCCAGTTGGGTATTGTATCTGTTTTCTTAACACATAAAGCATTTTAGAAATGGCATAAACAGAGGTTTTCTAACAGCATGCATAAATAGGGGCATTAGACACTGTTAAATAAATCGTGAATCCTAGATTATTCTTTAGGCATTAGTGATACACCATCAGGTTTACAATGTGACCCAGGAGACTCTGTATGAAAGCTAAATTTCACTGAAGTCAGCTAGATTTAAAGTAGAGATTAATTTTGTTGGCTGTTAATACTAATCTTCTACATATTACTGCAAAGTCATGGCTCCCACTTTATCTTTTCACCCCTGGATATCTGCTACCACTTTTCTGACCAGATTTGAAGGAGGTGAAAACAGAATATAATTGTTCTAAACTGTGAACATGGTGTTTTATCTAGCACTCTGTGGAGCTCACCTAGTTAGAACCTCTTTGGTAACATTTTCATATGATCAGATGTGGAAAAATGCAGGGTGCTTATTTTGAACACATTGAAAAGTAATTGAGAAATGCAGAGGAAAGCACCCAGAATGTAGTTCTTAAAAGAAGTAAAGAAAACAACCCCTGCTGTTAAAAAGCTATATATAAAGATGTGAAAGTGGCTAGTTTTCTAGTAGGATCCTTGTCAATACTTCCTTTTGTACTTTGTTAGGCATATTACTAAATTATAAATCTAATTGTTGATCAAAGTAAATACATTGATTGATATTATTGCAGATGAATAGAACTGTCAACAATGCTCAGTCTTTATGATGCTCAGTTGAAGGAACTGGATAAGTAAAGTGGTTGGAATGGATTGTGAAATAATTGTAATATCGCGTGAGGAAAGAATGGAATATTAAAGCTTGAGAATGAAAATTTCAGATTTCTTTAGACGTTAGCATCTTAAAACTAGATAAAATGAATTAAAAGTTCAACAAGTTTTAATTAGATCTGAATTTCTGGAGAAATTTTTCAAGAGTATTTACCTAATTCCTGTTTGCATACAAGATGCTAAATATGCGTTCTTTCAAATTTATACTTAGAAATTTATACTCCTTCCATCCAGCTTACTGTGACCAATCTTGAAAAAGTTACTGGGTCAGATCTAATTAGTACTTGGAAGGGAGATCACAAGGAATTCCAGGGTTGTAAATTAAACTGGAAAGTCAAAATGATATCTTGGAAGAAGGTAGTGGCAAACCACTTCCATAATATTGCCCCATAATGCATCTTTGTAGTTACCCAGAGTCAAAGTCAACTTGAAGGACTCTTTATTTTATTTTATTTTATTTTATTTTATTGAAAAGCATTTCATTTGATATATTGGCTATAACCATTTTGAAAACAAGACAACAGAGTTTCAAATTCCCACTTACTTCGGAGTCAAAAACACTGAAAGCAAAATGGGAGGTGTCTTAAAATTGAAATTATGAAATGTTGACAAACACTAAATATGTGGAAAGCTTTGTTATGAAAACTTCATAACTAGCATGCATTTCAAGTCCTTAAGGTCTAGTTCAAAATTGAGTATATGTTGTAGTTCAGTGTTTAGTTGGAAAGAAAATGATGAAATCTGTTAGAAGCTTTTGAAGGAACTTCAAGTTTACATCTGCTGCCCCCCCCCCAATGCTACCAGCACAAATAACAATAAGGATGATTGCTTTCACCTATCCAGGTCTATAAATGTTGGATATTACAGATCTACAATGAATATGAGATGAGCTTTTATGTAAATAGTTCATCACTGGCCAAAGATTTTAATGCAGCTTTTTTCATCATAATTCATTCTGTGCTGCCACTCTCATAATAAAATTGACCATTGTAGTACCTATAATTTCAATCCTTATATAAGAGTAAAGATTCCAAGACTTTAGCTTTGAAATGCCCAGATTCATATATGCATGTATGTTATGTAATGTAGGATCAACAGCACTTTAAAGTGCCTCATAGATCAGATTGCATGCTGATTTCTATTTTAAAATTCCTTTAGTAAATTTGTTTGGATGAGCAGGTCCTTTTAATTTTTTTTTTTTTAAGGTAATGGCTTCAATCCATTAAATAGTTTGGGTGCTTTAATTCCACTCCTTGACTAATAAAACAATTGTGTGACAGACCAGTGATAGAACAATGTGGAAAAAGGTATTAAAGGACCATAAACAGTAGTAGAATGGATTCTTCGTATTGTAAGTGTACCAATAGTGTGACTCAGTTTCAAGACAAATTCTTATATGGATCACTTTTTTCAATACATAGAGAAATCCTGCTTATTTTTTAAGAACATTCTCTCTCCCCACCTTTCTCCCAGCAGTGACTGAACTGATTATTCAAAGGCTGATTCATATAACCACTGAAAGTGTGGTTTGTTACATTTTAGAGACTCCACGCGTTTTAAGGTAACATGTTCAACTACACTGAAGGTAACATAAAGTCAAAAGAGAGAAGAAATCTGATATCAGGGGAAAAAATAAAGCAGAGTTGCACTCAGTCATATAACTTAACCTATAGTCCTATCCAGTTTCATTCTGTTTCAGATGCAATGCAGAACATTTTCTTTAGTATGTAAAGATTTAGATACTTTCTTGGTGTGGAACTCTTATATATGTCTGATAGATTTAAATCCCAATAAATTCAAAAGGATTTATTCCCAGATAAATGAGTATAGGATTGCAGCATCAAAATACTAAGAAGGATAATATCCATTGTACACCTTAACCCTTGATTTGTTAGTAGCATCCTGTCAAGACTATGGGCAAATGCTCGCTATATTGGCCTGTGTTAAATAATAATTGTAACTTTTCCAAAGACATTCCCATAATTTATGTGATCCTGGCCATCACCTTTCTCCACTGACTTGTCAATTCTAAATTCAGTGTAATTCTGGATTGACTCTGTTTTCTGAACAAAATGTAATGCAGTTTGAAGGAAGGAACTATTGAGTTGCTCAAACTATGTTAGAGCTGGATCATCTGGAACAATAACTACTATGGTATGGTCTCATCTGAAAAGCTTGCTGTTTATCTTTCCCAATCTTAGATCTGTTAAATCTAAAGATACATTGTATGTGTGTATACTTACAGTGACCGTATTTCATTAAATCTACCCTATACTCTATCACTTGAAAGTTTGAAATGTTGCCCCGTAGTAGCAAAACAGTGGCTTATCTTCTATCGTCTGAACATTATTGGTTAGCTTAAGTCCATCTTTGCTTTTATATGTTGACAGATACACACTGGTGGATATTTTACGTGCCATACTTCTTTCATTAGAAGCCATGATCGAGGACCCAGAACTTCAAGTAAATGGATTTGTTTTGATTATAGACTGGAGTAATTTCACTTTCAAGCAGGCTTCTAAGTTGACACCAAGTATGCTTCGATTAGCCATAGAAGGCCTTCAGGTAAAATGGTTTTTAAACATTATTCATATTTCTTCTACTCTTCTCTCCCCAAGCATCCCTCCTTATATATACTACTGGTTATATATACTACTATCTGTGCTGTTATTCTAAAGTGAGGTTCTCTGTACAATGAAGTAGCATATGTTGTGGAACATGAAACGCTGAACAGACATTTGTGGAACAGTGAAACTACAAACAGACATTGCTAGTAGCCCTATTCAGGCAGTACATTCATGCAAAAATGCAAGGAGCAGCCTTCCTTTTTTTTTTTGCTTTATTGAACAAAGCAGGGAGAAAAATATAAGAGAAAAAATACAAGAGAAAACAAGAGAAAAAAGAATAAGAAAGAACAGTACAATTACAAGATAAATTGTATGTGTTCATGTATATCTATGGGCTTTATGCACACACACACACACACACTTTTATATAACAGTTTCAATAAAAGATAACTCTAATTATTTAATTATTTGAAAAAAGTATATGGCCAGCTGTATATTTGTTAGGGAACTAACAGACAGATATTTGTTAACTATATTTCATTGTAATTTACCGTGCATAATATATGTCTGAGGGCAACTTGTAACATCAGGTGATGTAGAAGGCAGAGGGAATGGCCTCGAGGGACAGGAGGAAGAGCCACTACCAAGACAACCATCAGATAAAGGGGTCTGAGTTCAGGGCAGGAATGTAACTTGAGTAATTGTCTTAAATAAGACCCTCCCTAGTTCTCATGAAGGTAAAGGGAGGAAGGGGGAAGCATATTCAGACTCACAAGTTTCTGTTACTATAGCTTTACAATAAAAGTAGTACTGTATGACATTGGATTCCTAGTCTGATCTACCTTGAAGGGCTGACAGGTCTTCAGTACACTGGGTAATTGGGGCCATAAATTTGTCTCTCCATTGTTGAAAAACTAATCTGTTCGCAATGATAAAGACAAGCTATCAGAGAAAAGCTAGTTGCTCATAAGTAGAGTGTGGTTGCCTGCAGTGAGGTCCTTAGATGAAATGTGTCAACTCTCAGTCTTTGAAATGGCTCTGGACAATATGATTCTATATGGTGAAGGTTTAATTTGTTATTTAAAAACTAAACTGTAATGATGCTGATATAGTCATGATCATTGTTGTGTTTTACTTAGTTTTTGTTTGTTTGATGAGTTGATTTGTTTAATATTGCCTTGTTTTTTAAAAAAATATGTATACATCTATTCACATATTTTGTTCTTATGTGTTGTAGTAAAACAACAACAACAATAATAATACCTTTGCATAGATACAGTGGTTTCCATGTGAGCTGAAACACTTGCATGGAAGCTCTCATGTACATGTGAAAGTCCTTGCTGCCAGCAAGCCAGCTCTGTATACGAAGAATTAGATGTTTACTGACATCACAGGGTGAGGGATAAGGCTATTCCCCATTCCTTAGAAGACCCGGTTTGATATAGTAGTGAAGGCACCGGGCTTAAAAATCAGGAGATTATGAGTTCTAGTCCCACCTTAGGCACGAAGCCAGCAGGGTGACCTTGGGCCAGTCACTCTCTCTCAGCCCTAGGAAGCAGACAATGGCAAACCACTTCCAAAAAACCTTGCCAATAAAAATGCAGAGACTAGAAGTCAACAATGACTTGAAGGCACCAGGTGGTGGTGGTGGTGGTGGTGATGATGATGATGGCTTAGATAGCAAGATATACATGCAAGCAAGATATACATCACCTAAACAGAACTAGTACTGAAGTAATATTCAGTTGTCAGTCTGATCAGTTCTGCATATGGAACATGAGCGAGAGTATCATTTTTGTCCTTTGTTTCAGCAACAAAGTTTCTTGGGCAAGCTGGCTCAGAAATAAAGATGGAGGTTACTCATTCTAACTGATTATGAATCCCTTGACTGAGCTATATAGAGCTACTGTATAGGGTTTCTTCCCCCTCCTGCATTGTATTGGCCTTATCCTTGTTGGTAACAGATTATGGTATAGATTGTGTCAGCAGGGCTCTCAGGGTAAGAAAGAGCATCTGAATGGTTCTGATTTGAGAGAGAAGACCTTTTCCCACTACTAAGTTGTAATACTATCCACCTTTCATTGAGTCATCAGAAAAAATTACCAGTATGAAAAGCTCTCTCCATTTCCCATTCTTTTCTTATCTTTATTGCCACTGTTTCCCATTCACTACCAGTCACTTGACCTTCCTCCAAGGTAATGGGAGACAAAGCCCCTACTTGACACTCCCTTGCAATATGGGGGAAAATACTGCTTTAACACCAGTCCAGTTGAGGGTGACTAAACCTGACTCACCCATAGGATAAGGGTGAGATGAAGGCAACATCAAAGGGATGTGATAGAAATGGATGTGTTTATGGTAGCTTTCCCACCCTGGGCAGCAGCTCCTTCTCCCCCTCCCCTCCATTTCTGGAATCTTTAAACATTAGGATGGAGGGAGATAGTCCATGTCTCTGACTGTCTGTAAGGTTAGGTACAGGTATAGACAACACAGATTTAGAAGGAGAGGTTTATTTTAAAACCTTTTTAAAAAAACTAACCCTTTCATGGACTGGCTAGAATTGATTTAATATTTCCTGTCAGGATGACCTCTTACTCTAAGGGAGATAATTGATTGAAAGGGTTTTGTCTTGTGTAAGGAATCAAAGACAGAGCCAGCCTATCTTTACATTCCATTCAGCTTGAATACTTATACCCCCAGGGCTACTTGTTGCTCTGATTCAAAGACTAGGGTTATAGCTAGCAGATGTGGGCTACAGAAGTCTGTTTGGCCACCAGATGGATGGGCAGAAAGACATAGAATTCTCTGCAGCTCACTGTTGCCATGTAGTGGTCGGTCAGACTTTTGCAGCCAAGAGGATTGTTCTGAATCACACGGTTTCCCATCACTGAAACATCCAAAACTGTTCTAGATTTTGTTTTGTTTTGACTGATTCTGGTTTTTTTTCAGCCAGACCAAGGCCAGCCTTGAATGGGTCAATGAAACTTTGGAAATGCAAAATTTTGTTCTGAATTTCCAATCAAATACATTTTCCATTTCATGGACACCTCAGGTCATCAGCTACTGTGGAGTACTGATTGGACTGGGACCAGAGAGAGCCAAGTTCAAGTCCTCCATCAACTGTCACACTCAGCCTAACAAGGTTGTTGTCATGAGGGTAAAAGCGAGGAGTGATCTCACTCACCCAACCGCCCTGCCGAGCTATACTGCATGTGGCCCCAAAGTTCCTTTTTTAGCACTCCTGCTGAAGAGTTAGTTATCTCTAATCACAACATAAAATATTGACCTGGTTCCTAATTTTCATTAGTAAGGAGCTCAATTAAATTTTGATTTTCTTATAGGACCTCTTTTTAAGCTGAGTTGATAAATGAACTAGGAAAATCAGATGTAAAACGTCATGATACCAGGCTGCTGAGAACATGTTAAGAGAACAAATATATAGATGTCTAGTGGAACTTTAAAAAGTCCCCTTATGACATTTATTTTGAGCACAAGTGAAAGCGGCTGGCATTATGTTTTTGCTCTGTGGATAGCACAAAAGACTTTGTAGAGGTAAATCGTGATGTCAGAAGTCTCTCGCTGACACTGTTCTACTAATGAAAAGACAAAGGCACAATGGAACATGGCAGGATTCTTCTCCCAGCTGCCATTGAGAGCAGACACATCAGACAGAAGGGGAAAAAAAGAAAACAGCTGGGGACCAGCTTCTTTGTTTCTCTCTTCAAGGGGAAGAAAAGCAACACACCAGAAATCTCAGGTCAGATTGGGCTGCTTCAAGAGATTACATGGTTCTCTGGTGTGAAACAGGATTTCCCAACCACCAACAACCAAAACTGAATCCAAACCTCCCAGAAGCTTTGGGAATGCTGTGGTGTGTATTAAGAGCTGGAGAAAGTCATAGTGTAGCTTCACTGCTTTGGTTTTGCTGTTCCATCTATGACAAAGACCAGATGGGGTGAGAAGCGGGGAGAGAGGACAAAGAGAGAGGAACGGACATGGAACATTTTCTCCAGGCTTCCCAGTTCAGAGGCTTGAATCTTCAGTGGGCTCTGCTGCTCTATCTGCTTTTTGCTAGATTGATTCGATGAACAGGAATGTGCAGAAGAGGATATCTTAGCGAGAGAAAGTTTTCTTTTTATATACCATCAGTTCTTTTTCACCACAATCCTTGTCTTAACCCTTGTAATGATTATAATATGCTAGTCCTTCTAAATATGCTTTTCACACTTTCCACATCTATTTATTCTCCTCTTGAAACTTCCTCTTCACAATCATTAGTTTGTCTCTTTGGTTTATAGAATTCAGTTATGTAGGTAGAAGCAACTCATCTCCTACTATTTCAGCCTGTTATTTTGAATCACATTTTGTTGCTCATGTGTTTGAGAAGGCAGCCTGACCTGCAAGACAATTAGAAGTTAGAATAAAGGCAAGAGTCGTAGCATGGCAGACAGAATCTAGTTCCTGTTTTAGACTCCTCTCCCTACCCCACTGAACTGAGCAGAATTTGGATGCTTGGAGCAGTATGAATGAAGAGAAACATTTATTATGTTGGTACATTCAAATAACAAAGATTGACAGGAATGAACAATTACTTGAAAGCAGTGTTTCTCAACCTCAGCAACTTTAAGATGTGTGGACTTCATCTCCCAAAATTCCCCAGCCAGCATTGGGGAATTCTGGGAGTTAAAGTCCACACATCTTAAAAGTTGCTGAGGCTAACAAACACTGCTTTAAAGCAAATAAAGAAAACAGAGAAGAAATAGCCTCATTCAATCAATGAATTTTTAAAATAATAGAAGCACGCTTTGGAAGGTAATCTTGCAAGTCAAGCTCAGCTCCTGGTGAATAGATACCCATGCCCAGGCTGTTTTCTTTTGGGCATCTTGGTGGTCTCCCATCCAAGACCCAATCAGGTCCAATCTTGTTTACCTTCTCAAGATCGTCCAGAATCAGCTGCTGCCACTGGCATGATTCTGAATTAATACAGAGAATATTTTT